CCCTATTAAATCCATTATATTTAAAAGTATCCGAATCTAAATTGGAGTTGGACATTAATTAGGGTTTAAAATCTGCTTTCGAATTTCTCAATCCATTATAAGAAAATTATTATATTTTTAACTATATATATATATATATATATAGGCTGGCCAATGAATGTAAGTTTACACCACCTTTTAATAAAATCCCAAAAGAAATCCAGCTTACTATTATAGCCGAATCAAGGACAACAAGATCGTCTCTAACTTCCATGATGATTACATATAAATAATAACAAAACTCTCACAACGACGGTAAAAAAACAACAAACCAAAAATTGGTCATATATATAATGCGTTTTAATATAGTAATAGAGGAACGCTTGGGGATAAGCATCGGGGTTATTTTATTTCCCGTGGATGGGGCCACCCTCTATCATTCCATTTATAATGGTCCCAAATTCACAATATCTAATATCGAAATTACAACCAACCTTTATCTTTTACATAGATATATGTATATATATATAATCATAAGCTTGTAATTAATTCCTCGTGGGGACGTTTCCGATTTCATTTCTAGATATCCCAATATATACTTTTTGTTTTCCATTTTTGATTGTTTTCCCCTCGATTGCAATGAGTTCGATTTACAATTTAAAACAACAAAATACTATGTGTGCATATATATATGGGGTGTGTGTGTGTTGTATTATATTAAGTTTATATTTATTTACATATGTGAAAATTGGTTCAATGGGCATTATATCAAAAATACCTTTCTCTAACTGTGATCATGTGATTTATGTGAACCAAAATATAGTGTGGCCGCATTATTATTTTATTGATTATAACGTTAAATTTATGGTGATCACATTGATTCATTATATTCATACCTTATATATCTTATTAATCATTTGATTAAAACATCATAAATTTAACGTTATGAACAATGATATCAATATGTGACCACACTATATTTCGGGTCACAGTTGGAGAAGTATATGTGTTAAAGTCAAAATAGCAAAGTAAATGTATTTTTGATAATGCTCCGGTTCAATATGGCAAGCTGTAACGATTATTAACGTATTCTAATGTCAAAATTAAAACCATATTGTATCGAACTTTATGTATTCAGAATCACTTGTGTAATTCGCCGTGTAACCAAAAACATCCAATATTCTGATATTAGTATATGGATTGAATGATTTAGGTTATAAATAGCTTTAATTTAAGACAACGAATCTAAACGGCTGTCTTCAAGATTCTCTGGACTATACATACACGAACTTATATGTAGCAAAAGGAATGGTTACTATGATCTTTATTATGTCATCGAGATCGTACGTACAGTACAATTACAAACATGAAATCTCTTCCG